AAATTAGTATCAAAACATTTCAGTGAACAGCTGATGACAAAATATAAAACTATAAGAAAGTCCCAAATTAGAAGCCGTGATATGATTGAAATTTGGATCCAATGAACATTTCAAGCAGATATCTCCAATCGGTGCATCAGTTGGTGAATTCTTCCCACACCACGGTGCTTTCAAACTATCCCCTTTCGGGTGTGTACTCACCACACGGGTTGAGATATTAAAGCAGAAGATCCCAAGTCAGAGGGTCCGCATCCCCAATTGTTTACTCTTGATAACACTCCGTCCGTTATGGATTTAGGTAAAAAAGAGAAACCTCCTCATGGTGTAGTATGCATAAACGTTTATTTATAAAAAACATATAGTCACTCACATTTAAAATCAAGGAAACCGGCCGGTATAGTGTAGCGTCTCACTCGCCTGCTACTTCCTGGTATAGCGTGGTATCGAATTAGGATAGACCCGCCCCGACGCGTTTCGTCATACAAGACGTCCTCAGGAGGTCATAGGTCTATCCCTTCAAACCACGCTAGAGCTTTTATAGCCCTCATTCTAGTTCCTTCTAACAAATGACCACTAGATGTCCTCGTGGTACATTTTTTTCTTCCAATATTTATTTAAAGGACAGCAGATATATCTGTATTTAATCTTGTCTGTAATCACTAGTGATGTGATATTTCTAGTAATCTTATTTCTACCGTGAGCATTATATAAAGATCTATTGATTAACATATATGTGTACGTGTATATATCCTTATATAAATATATACACGCACCACACATATAGAGACATAAGATATCGCAAAATGAATCAAAATGGATTTTTTTACTTGATACCATGGTCCCTAAAGGATTAAATATAGAATTTGATTTAAAAGGTTAGAGAAATTATTTTTTTTTCGGTTTTGGTCTCAAGATTTCATTTCGGTGCACCTCTAGTGAAAATGTCAACCTTGTGCTATCCTAATGTAACAGTAACAGTTTACACAAATTGGACCATGTTTTAAATTGAGGTTTTTTGCCCTCCTTTGGCTCAACTATGTGGGTATAGGGCAGTGGTGGCAAACACACACCACAAAGCACACACAAGCCCAGGTTCAAGGACCACCTCTGAAAATAGATCTGGCCATCCCGGATCGCCTTGGTACGCGATCCGGGCTGGTCAAAATCAGGCAGCGGCGGCCTCTAAACAGGAATATTAGACTGCAGCTGCACTCCAGGACTCCTAACCTGTTTTTTCTGTCTTTGAATGCAGGAAACCTTTCTTTATTCTTCAGGTTTGAATATTAAATCTGCCCCTGGATGCGTAGGCTTCAGACATCTCCAAATACAAAAATGCAAGCACCCTGACTGTACCAAAATAGTGTATAACATTTCAAATCCCTACAGTCCATGAGAATGAGGCCTTGGGCTTGGTTCACACTACATAATTGTGTGCATGTTGCTGCAATGCTATCCATGTTGACTGGCCCCTTGATGACTGTTGCATACTGCCAAGAAAGGTTTCCCTCCTTCTGCCCTGGAGGTGCGTTGATGGCCCATTTGTATTGAATGGGCTGCTTAATGCTGCACATGTTAATGCAGGAAAAAGTTTACAACAATGGCCCCCAATCAGTCAAGTCTCTATAAATGTGAAGGAGAGCTGCTGTAGCTAAATGTGAGCAGAAAAGTCAAAACTGAGACTGACAGAACAGGAATGGCCCAAGAGCCGCACAGCCCCCAGTGAAAGCTGCATAGCCCCCCCTTTCCCCCCAGAGAGTCTGTACAGCCCCCTGGGAGCAGCACAGCCCCCCCCCCCAAAGCCCACCTGAGAGCCCATCTGAGAACTGCACAGCGCCTCTGAGAGCCCACACAGCCCTCCAGAGACACTGGAGACATCAGGCCGCCACCCCGGAGCAACACAGGGTATGCAGCCTTATATTATTTTGCATTGAGGTTAAATGTATTACTGGGATTTGCAGTCCTCTATAGCTGATGGTCTTATTCTGCATTGCTGTATAATGTATTGCTGGGATTTGTTTTCCCCTATAGTTGGTGGTATTCTGCATTGCTGTATATTGTATTGTTGGGATATGTAGTCATCTATAGTTTGTGATATTCTGCATTGCTGTATAATGTATTGCTGGGATATGAAGTCCTTTATAGTTTGTGGTATTCTGCATTGCTGTATAATGCATTATTGGGGTTTGTAGTACTCTATAGTTGGCAGTATTCTGCAATGCTGTATAATGTATTGCTGGGATATGTAGCCCTCTATAGTTGACAGTATTCTGAATTGTTATGTAATATATTGCTGAAATTAGTTCCTTTACAGTTTGGAGTCAGTAGCAGAACTACCAGGGTCACAGCACTGACCCCAAGCTATAGAGAGACTGTTCCTTTGCAGTGTGCTGTGTGACATGTACCTTAGTAGCCCACTGCAATGGAACACATCACTTATTAGAACAGTACAAAGGTACATGTCACACTGTAGTGTAGTTAAAACCTCTTGTATTTTTCTTCTAGGATTTAAGCACATAATTAGTTCAGACAGTCATTTGAAGTGTTTTTCTAAAGGAAATCATCAGTATTTGGGTCTAAGTGCAGGGGTGGCATTTTGAGACACATAAGTTGGTTTCGTGATCCAGTTTGGGCACTTGGCCTCAAAAAGGTGTGCCATCACAGGTATAGAGTATGGCATATTAAGGTTTTAAGTTTATTTATCAATTTTTATATTGGTTAAACTTGTGTCTTTTTTTTTTTTCATTCTAACTACTTAAGCAATAGCAAACACACTTGTGCACTGCGTTACAGCAGTATAACAGTGTGAATGGGTCCTAAGCTAGTGAGGCTGCACTTGAGGCTTCCTAAATTTACTTAACTGATCAACACTGCTGTGTGTAGTTTAGTGTCATTCTGGTATTGCATCGACATATCATATTCTACCTTCAGCTCTTGTTTATGATTTACTTTAAATTTCCTACAGCCCTGCCACAGTAGTAAGCAATCTACCAAGTTTATCCGCTGTAAACTCTTAGAACTTGATTCTAGTATTTATAACATGACCTGCGATTTCAGTGACACAATTGCTGTTAAACCATATACTTGACCGATACCAGTCACTCACTAGTGTTCCCATGGAGTAGGCTTTGCAAGGCAGGTTGCACTCAGACAGAAGTTGTACATATTCCTGCATGGAAAGCAGCTGATCAAACGGGTGACCAATTGGACAGTAAGGGATTTACCAGCCTAAATACCAGGCTGCAGGAAGCACATACACTCATGGATGCTTGCTGTAGTTAGTTTGTTGGGCACATATGGGACTGCAGACATCAGGGTGTGCAAGGCAAAGACCACTGCAGAAACCAGATGCAATATTTAGCTTTTTTGAACATATTTCAAGTTGCATCAGGTCTCATAACAAATGTAGCCATGGAGTTAAGTTTAGTTGAACATAATATTGTATATATGATAAAACATTTTATGGTAATAAGGGCGACACAGGTGCCCCTCCTAAAGTTAAACGGGAAAAAAATATTTTAAAACCAAGGTTGTTTTTTTAAGGACCCCAAAGGGATAAAATATAATAATACAAGTTCAATGGGAAAAGATTACATTTTTAAAAATAGTTTTGGGTATACTGTGCTGCTACTGGAGTTTGGTTGGCCCAGTGAATCACCAGCCAGCTAACAAGGCAGCACATATACCAGAGTGTTGTAAGTCTACAGAGAGATGGTACAAGCTACAATAGACGGTAGTAGAGTCAGCTCAGGCACAGGCAAAGTGTTCCTAAACAGAGTTTAGGTTACAGACTGGAAGCTAGAGCATAGACAAACTATAGCAGAGATAATAGGCCAATGATCAGAATACTCGCAGACAAGTGGAATAAAAATGCAGTCCATACAATTCATACCCTTAATCCAGGGCATGACCACAGAAGTAAGGTAGACCTGTAAGCAGACTAACCTGTTGATCAGGCACACTCTGAATCTCCAGCAGTGTATTTAGGCACTCCTATCTGGGAGAAGTTTGCAGTGCAAAAGCCTGAGGCTTAAGCCCCGTTCACATCATTGTGCTTTGGTAATGCACATTGGGCTCTGTAATGTGCTGTCTCAATGCAATGCGCCTTATTGCACGTGCACTATCTCAGCACGACTGTAATCATGGCCTAACTTGTTAGTAGGATCATGTGTTGGACACACTGCTGTATGCTTCTAAGTAGATCAGAGCCTTGCCAATTTTACAGTTGCATAATTCAAGTCCTAATATGCATGATAGCCAATTCAGTTTTTGGTGCTTCAAGGACAGTGTAGTACATATTGTGAGGATCAGGGTTAATGATATTTATATATAATATATTTATATACTTTTGACTAGGGCTGCAACAACTAATCGACATAATCGATTATAATCGATTATTGAAAAAGTTGTCAACTTTTTCAATAATCGATTAATCGGCTTCCGATCAGTTGGCCCTGTTCACAGCTCCACACGCTGTATGACCACACATTTCTTACTAAAACATTTATCATAAAAAGTGGTGTGGTTAGGGTAGTCAGAGACGCAACAAATATGCTTACATGGTGAACAAAGAAGATTGCTAAAAAGGTTGTGTCCCTAAAGCTATCCAATGGATATTAGGCGGGCACTGTTGTAGTGGACTTAAGATGATCACTCTCTCTAACTGAAAATGGCCATTGTCAGTCAACTGAAGGGCCGGACTGGCCATAGGGCAAACTGGGCACTTGCCCGGTGGGCCGGGCCAAACACAATCAACTGATTGTGTTTCGGGCCGGTTCGCTATGCCCGATGGCCGGCTCTGAGAGCTCCATTTATCAGAGAGCACAAAGCGGCCACTCGGCCAGGCAGAACAGACAGAGGAGATCCGGCCCGCCCCCATCACCAGCTGACAGACAGACCTGGGAGAACTGTGCAGGACACGTGCTGTCCTGTGAAAGATCACAGAAAGGAGTCCAGGAGAAGGTGAGCTGATGGGAGGGGCAAGGAATCACTAGCAGAGTGAGGAGTTAGCGGAGCTCCACGACCCCATGCTGGGGGTGGGGGGGGGGGGGATAGGCACAGGAGCCAGAGTGAGGGAAGATGCAGGCAGGGCCGCCATCAGGCCGATACTCATTTGAGGGGCCCAGGCATGGTATCGGCCGTACAAGGGGCGGCATGGTAGAAGGAAGAGGTGGAGGTTGCTGGGCCCCAGCAGCCCATGACCGGCGACAGAGGAGGCCGGGCCCCAGGTGGTCTCTGTGGAGTCTCAGGTGGGTCCTAAAACTAGTGCATCACTAAGTCCAGGGGGTTACTGAGCCCAGAGCGTTACCAGTCCCCGAGCCCGGCGCGTTACCAAGCCCTGAGTCCAACTCAAATACTGTTCTGCATTTCTGTATAAATGTATTACTGGGATTTGTAGTCCCCCTACAGCCGGTGCCATTCTGCATTTGAGTGTAAGCTCCTCTGTACAGAGACTAATGTGACTAATGTGACTGACTCAAGTCTTCTCTGTACAGCACTGCGGTATATGTCATGGCCAGGGGCAGACTGGTCATAGGGCATACCGGGCACTTTACTGGTGGGCTGGGCCGTACACAGCCTGATTGTGTTCGGCTCTGTCTGGCCCGCTATACCTGATGGCCTGCTCCGAGCAGTGCCAGCGCTTTCAGGCAGCTGTATAGGCAGCTGCCTGAGAGCACTGGTGCGGCGGGGGGATGGGTGTGCGGCCGAGCTTGAAAAGGGGGCCCGAGAATGTAGTGTACCCAGGTGCGCTATATT